CGCCTTGCCGCCCCCCTCCCCCCCAGTTGCTGCCTCTATCAGAGGCAGAAAGGGGAGGGGGAGCAGGAGCTGGTTCCCCCCCAGCACGGTCTCCATGGAGGGCAGGGAAGGAAGAGGCGCAGGAAGTGGGGACTGCTTCCGTTCCCACTGCGGTGCGTCAGCCCTTGAAATGTGGTAAGATCTTCACAGGGCTCTTGCTGCGTTTCAAGGGCTGAAGCACCGCATTGGGCACACAGGTTGAGTGGGGACCCACTCTCCCCGTGCTCCCTGTGGTGTCCCGCCCCACCCGAACACGGGCTGCTCGACTGAACAGTCCCGGCTCATGCGGATGATGCACTTCTGCATTTTAGACCTAGTAAGAGCCTGGTGGCATCTTTAAGCATCTTTAGATGCCTATGCCCTGGGCTATACTAGGGAGTTATTTCAAAATAGCAAGTGGAGCATCCACACTACCAAGCCTGTTATTTCAAAATAACAGCTCCTGTTTGTCGTAACAAACACTTATTTCAAAATAGTTATTTCAAACAGTGGCAGTATGGACGCTCCAGTGCTTCTATTTTGAAATAACTACTCCCCAGAATCATTCAAAGTAATTAGAGCCCCAGGAAGCCCAGGGGAGTAAGTCGAGGTAACCCATCCACATGAAGGGAGCCTGCCTCGGACTCATTTTGAGGCTTCCCTGTACTGTGGACGCGCTATTTCCAAATAGTTATTTCGGGAGTTAGTTTCCTAATGTTGACATGCCCTAAGTGCCTTTGTAAATCTGGCTGGCTCAATGTAAATCTTGCCGTTGACTTCACTGGGAGCTGCGTCAGCCCCATATACACTTAGCCTCATTTGCTTAGCATAGTTCCAAAATGAAAGTCCACCACAGGGTGTACCAGGCTTAGGGGTGGTTCTGAGCCAATATGGAGTGGTGCTGCGCACATTGAAAAAATCTCCCATGTGTGCTGTATATCCAGCATGTGTTTGATATGGGAGCTATCCCTTGAGTTCATGCCTCTACATGTCTTCTGCACACGCTGTGGAAGGCTTTTACTCATCGCATTGAATCTGATGCCTGAAACTTGAACACTCATGAGTGGCCTGCTAATATGGAGATATTGGCCCAGGCTTTGGAAGGTGCTTAGAGGCTTGATTTTAGATGGCTGTTAGGCACTGAGGTGTGTTTGAAAATAGCAATGGTGACTGTTCATTTTTAGGTGCTTCAATACTTTTCAAACTTTGGCCCATAGAGTTCATGTGGGCCTAGCCTGGTGATACCCTTGGAGCCAGAAGCATGTCTGGCTCCTGTGTCAGCCTGCACAATTACCCAGATACAGTTTCCCTCCAGGGAACTGGACCTTTGCCAGAGTTTTCCAAAGGCCATTGGGTCCATGTGTGCTTAGGGTCCTGGAGGCAGTGCAATCCACAGACCCTTGAAAAAACTGGCCCTTGTTTCCTGACTCTGAGAGCCTGATCCAAATGAAGTCTGTCTCTTCATTTTAGTGTTTTTTGGTGATATCCCATATATAAAGGTTACAGTTGTGGTCAGTATGTCTGATGCCTTCCTGGCATTATCTGGCTGCTTCACCAAGGCTATGTGTAGACCAGGGAACACATCTGCTTTTCCACTCCCTCCTCACCCCGCGGAAGAGCAGACGTGCTCTTTCAGAAGCCCTTTCTACCTCCTCCAATGAGGAAGAAGGGCTCTTCTGAAAGGAGGTGGGGTTTCCGAAATTTGGCCCAGTATAGATGGGCCAAATTTTGGAAAAGCCTCTTCCAGAAAAACTATCAGAAAAAGCTACACAGATTGCAGAGCACAATTTGCGTTCATTTTTTCTAATAAAGCCCCATAGTGTAAACATACCCTAGTTACTCTGCTCTGCCCCCAGGTGGCTGAGCTGATCCTGACTGCATCCTCGCTAGTTGCCCAAGTGGCACTCAGAGCTACTTCTAGAAGAGCCTCCGTTCAAGTGGATTGGCCCTGCCTTGGGCAGGGGGCTGGACTTGATGACCTCCTTAGGTCTCTTCCAGCTCTATGATTCTATGATGTGTCATTTAAGAACCAAAAGGTAGATTCTGGTTTCACTTCTATTCAGAGCTCTCAGTCGGATGGGCCTAGGGTGCTTAGGGACTGCACAATACTTCAGGACTACACCCCACAAAAGCTCCATTCCCCAGGAAAAATGCACGTGTCCACTTCAAGAGTGAAATTCACTTGCGGGCGAGAGAACGTTCCAAGAGGCTGATCCATGACTGTGGAACTCACTGACACAGGACCACAGAACAACCACAAATCTTACCACCTTCAGGCCACTATATTCACTTATTTTTAGTGGTTGTGGCATGGGAAAGCTAACCCTGCCCTTTCAGAGGGGTGCAAGAGAGGCCCTCTCATCTAGTGCCCTGTTTTACCTGGTGCTCAGAGGAGTGGCATTAGAAAAGCTTGCATGGGTAAGCTATGCTGGTGTAAATGTGGAGTTTCTTCAGATTCATACTGACGTGTAACATATCAGAATACAGCCCATGTCTTTATCTTGATGTTTCAGAACAAAAGAATACAGCTGACATCCATCATTAAGAGAGAGACAGCTAGCTGGTGTGCATCTTACACCAGAGCTAGCTTCATTTTATGAACTGTGATGGTTTCCTATTATATAATCAAGGGACTTTGTAAATAATTGGAATGCAATAAACAAAACTGTCACTGTACAAAACAGAATAGAATCTTGCTCAGGGCCTCTTTGCCTTATTAGTCAGGGTTAATAGGCCTGAAAAATAAATTAGAGCTGGCTGATGTTTTTCAAACACATTTTCCCCCCAACTTAGGAGATGGGGAAGGGGAGAGGAGGGAAAGAAGGAAAATACAAAAATGAATATTGTGAAGAGTAGAGAGAACATTTTTCAAATAACAAACATGAAGTGGATCATTTTTGAACTGTGCAAAATGAGAACAAGTTTGAAATTTTGATTGGTTTTGTTTGTAATGTTTAATTTTTAATTTTTCAAGCCACTCTGAAGCAAATGAATTGTAGTCACTAAAGTAAAGTATCTGACTGTGGTGCAAACCAGGAGCAGATCTGATCGATAAGTAGGTTCCATGGTTATATGGTATTTTTCAGGTATAAGGGCACTTTACATTACTGTGAATTTTAAGTTTCCAGTGAATTGCATCCTGTCCGGAATGGAGCATTAAAAGACTGCAGAGCACGTGACTTGTAAAACAGTGCGGATCCCCATGGAGCTACCCAGGGCACACAGATCTGTGAGAGGAATCAAAGGTCCAGCACAGTCAGCATTTTGTACTGCAGCTTTGACAGTTGTAATGAACCCAGTTGGGTGGGCTTGTGGCACATCTGGGGGGTTTTATTCCACCCTAATTACGATTACAACTCTCTGAACATCACTGCTTGATAACTCACAAATGGGGGGGGTCCATGTAGTTTACAGATTATCAGATGGATTGGAGAGTTCATTATTCGTTTTGGTAGTGTTTTAACTGAGCTTGCCGGAATGCTTGTTTCTTTTAAAATGTGTTCTGGATGTTTGAATTCTGTTCCTTATTGACTGCAGTGATTATGTAACCTTCCCTCAAATTTTAAACATAAGAGGGTCAGATTCTGCTTTGATTTATACCAGTAACAGTTTTGGAGTGAGTGGAATTAATCCAGTTTTACGCTAGTTTAACTGATCTTAGAATCTGGCCCGTAATTACTCTGTTCTATTTTCATAAAAATGCAATAATTATAACTTAACATCTAATGGCTTAAATCAGCCTTAATACATCTGTCTTCAAGACTTTGTATTCACTTGCTGATGGTTCAAGCTCATAGTAATTCCCTCTTACTAATGCTTATTTTTTCTCTTTTTGATCTGCAGGACTGTGTGCAATTAAACCAATACAAGCTGCAAAGTGAAATTGGCAAGGTATGTTAGTGTAATTAAGGTTTCTATTACAGTAGCACCCAGCAGCCCCTTTGTGCTAGGCACTATACATGCACACCCACGTGAAGACACAAGCTCTGCCCTGAAGACCTATCCAAGACTATAATCAGCCTTTCTTTTCTTCCCTCTTATTTGTCTTATCAAGTTTTGCTCCAGATCAGCATTAAGCTACTTTTTCTGAAGTCTACATTTATTTGCCTTCCAATGGAAGGTAATTGAGCTGGCTTTCTTCCAGGGTGTTTCTTGCCAAATGGAACACCAAGGTCCTTTAATTAATTAATCCAACCAATGAGAAAAGAAAGATAAAGGTAGGCGCTTGTTCTACGTCAGGATTGGTTAAGTTCTTATTTCCATGTAGAAATTGCTGATTTAATTCTATTCTGCATATAAAGTCTCAGGATGATTCAGAAGAGATTCGCTGAAAGTTATTTACAGGTCTGATTTGGTGAACAGTTCAGACACCTGCACATCTGGACTCATGCCATCGCTGCAGATGGAGCAGTAAATGATCGTTCTCTAAAGGCAGCTCTTGCTATTGCTGTCTGTGTACTCTGTTTAGAAGTGACTACACCTGCTTAAGTTGATTAGTTCAAACTTCTCTGGGGTTCACAGACCCTACCCACTTCGGAGAGTTGTCTTCTTATTTACAAACTGACTGTACGGATCAGTTAGACCACCCAAATTAGCACCAAGTTGGAGTAGAGTACAGACCGTCCTCAGTGCAAGTCCAAGATACGTTCCAAAAAACTTGGACTTACAGTGCAACAACTTAAAGCGGGGAATTTTTTTTTCCCGTGGCTGACTTCCATTTTGGTAAACTGAGGGGGAATGTTTCGCACAACTTATAGTGGAGAATGGGAGGACTTATAACGCATCAGTTCCTACAAACATTGACTTTAGTGTGGAATGGATATATACTGGAGTGACTTATAGTGGGGACGCCCGGTTGGTGTTTCATACACATGCTGAGATTCTGTACTGAAGCCAGTCCTTGGGTACGTCTACACTGCGGCGCTACTTCGGGATACTTCCGGTATCCCGAAATAGCTATTCCGCGTCTTTGGAACAAGCCTGTTATTTTGAAATCGAACTGGCTCGCTATTCCGACATCCCTGCAAACTTCATTCCATGTGGATTAATGGACGTTTCGGAATAGTGGGTTATTTTGAAATTTGACGCTGTATAGACAGCGCCAAATTATGAAATAAACTATTTTGAAATTAACTCAAAATGAGCTATGCAACTTGTGTAGCTTATTTCGAGCTAAGGGTGTGGTGTGGAGTGGACACACCCTCTGAGGTGGTATTAATGGCTGTTATGGTAAGGGTCGCCCTTGCTGAACTGTGCTCTTCTCCCCTTGGAGCTTTTCTGTCAATTAGGGTAATCAGATTTCCCCTCAGAAGCAGGTTAGCCTGATGGTCTGTCCCTGAGGGGAAGGATGGCGGAAGCTCAGGCCTAGGCCGAGGCCCTTGCCCTCCCTATTCCTCTCTCTTCCCTCAACCTAACAGAGGAGGCTTTTACAAGGTCTCCAGCAGGCCAAAAGTGGAATCAGCTGGCCCTAACTGGTTCAAGGTACCCCATCTCACCTGATCCCTAATCTGCCTGAGACAGCTCCTTGTCAGCTGCTCCTAATTGGCCCACTCCTTGTTAACGAGGCAGTTAGCTTTTTTTTCCCCCTCCCTCCTAGGGCTGCTTTTCTCCCACTCTGTTGCAGCCCTCCCACCTGACTCTGTGTATCAAAACATATGCCTGGCTGCTTTCCAAGTGTGAGGACCTGTTTTCTGCGGCAATAAGCCATCGTTGCTGCGTTCTTTTTGCCCTTCACGTACATGCAGGAATGGGGAGGTGGAGATGGGAGCTGGTTTCTGTTGCGCAGCTTTGAATGTACCTATCTTCGTTGCGTAAGTCCATGGAGAGAGCAGGATTAAGGAGAGAAGCTTGCTAATGCTCACAATTGTGCTTATCTCCAGATTTGATGCGTCTCCAAGGGGTTTCCTGTCTTATTAGGAGAACTCTAAGCAGTTCTCATATCATCAGGGCTTCATGGCGCACATGCAATTTACCACAGCTCTGGGAATTGTTTGGGCCTCACCTCCATTTAAAGCTAAACTACATATGTCAGAGTGAATTAGCAAAGCCCTGTGCTTGTCTCTTTAAAATTGTATCTTTTTTTACTAATTAAGGCCACATTGATATACCCTTATTCCCCTTGTGAAGTATCTGTGCTCTTCCGTTCAGTCCCCGGAGGTCAGTAGAGACTATGTTCCTATTCTAGGTGAGTAAAGTGAAACTCACTCTTGTGCAGAGGGCCCATGAAAAGAGTGCCCTTCTTAAGACCCAATTAAACCTTATTTTGGTGGCTTGAGTGGGACGCAGTAGTCGACAGGGCTTGTGCAGGCTTTCTGCACAGGACTGATGTACAGGCCTTCTACAAAGGAATGTCTAAGTGGTCAGACCAAAGGAGTGAATTTCGCCTTTACTTTCTAGTCTGCCCCAATACCGAAACCAAAAGACCCTAAAAAGTAAATTTCCCCCAATGTTCAACTTATAACAAAAATATAACCTTGGCTCAGGGCATTTGCTAAGGATTAATAACTGGCTGGAGTTAATGGCCCGAGGCACAGTTCCTTCTAGACAGTCATTTATCCTCAGCAAATGCTCGGTGCTTCTGTCATTATTGCCCAAATGAAATAGCTGCCTGGAGAGGGAGGACACCGTCGCTGGCAGCCTGTGTGTCCTGGTCCATCGGTGTTGCATTTTGTCGGGGGACGGGAGCTGTGCTGCATAACGCAATCTGCCATCGCATGGAGCTCTTGCTTGAGGCTGTTGAGGATAGTTCTTATTTTTCACTGCAAGGCCAAACACGAGAAGCCTTGAGCAGCAGACAAACAAAGGAAGGCAGCCGAACTGACTGTAATTTGTGTTTATTTATAGGGCTCCTACGGTGTTGTGAAACTGGCCTACAATGAGAGTGACGACAAGTATTACGTAAGTGACTCTTCCCCCCGTATTACTGGCTGGTGTTGATATTTCTGATTCCTTTGTCACATCCCGGAGGATTAGCGCTCTCCTGCTTTTTTTTTTTTTTTTTAATCCTTCAGAGCCATGTGCCCTGTGACTAGAAAACCAACCTGATAGGGATAGAGACCTACACTTTTCAGTGTGTGTGATGTAGAGAGGCGTAATGTCAGCCAAACCCAGTGTGAAGTGCTGTATAATGAGTGGAGATGTCCGACACATTTCAGAAACAGGCAGGCAAGCTCATTGGTGAGTTAGTTTGACATTTTCTAGATATGAAAGAGATTACCTGAAAGGATCCCTCTACTGTGCCTCTTAAAAAAAAAAAATCTGTCTGAAAGGAACAGGCATGTTTCATAACTGAATGTTGGGCATTGGATGTGACACCCCCAGCAATACAACCCAGCAGAGCACTATGTGATTTCTCTGTGACAGCACTGCGTTTTAAACTGTTCAATTAGCAAGTACTTATTTAGCTATAGGGAGTATTACCTTGGGGGATAGACCATCAGGCTGGGACTGAAGAGATTCTATTCCCAGCTCTGCTACCAAGGGTACCATTTTGGGAGAGCAGCTGGGGCAGCAGCCATGCATGCTGGGATGCCACTGGCTTTTCTTCCCATTCCCCTGATTATCAGGGAGCCGGGGGAAAGTACTTGGATTCCTTAAATTACTCCTCTGCCCCTTCCCTTCACCAGCCACGAGTGAGAGCATGCACGGAATCCAGGTACTTTCCTCCCGCTCTCCCGAAATGGCACCCTTGTCTGCTACTGAATTGCTGGGTGAGCAGTTCACTTTTCCTTATCAAGTCAGTTTCCTAACTGGTAAATTGGGGGTAATGCAGCTTACGTGTTTGTAAAGTGCTTTGAGAGCTACAGGTGGAAATTGCCGTATAACCAGTAGGTGGTGTTATAATGAAGACTATGGAAAATCAAGATTCTATGGGGCTCTGTAACAAGGCCTGCAAATAAGTAAAAATCAATCAGTCCATTGTGTAGCTAATTGCATGGTTTGGGCCTATAGGCTCAAAAAATGTCATCTTAGTTCAGAACACCATATAAGCACAGACTTAAGGGCTTTCCTGAAGTGAGGCCAGAGGTTTGACTTCTACATCTAAATAAATTGAAAAAGCCCAATCGCTGTTACTTCAAACCCGTAAGTGAGGGAAATCTGGAAACTCTAATCTGAACCACTTCAGAATTTCTAGAGGGGGTGGGCTATACTTGACTTCATTTTCCCTTAGCTAACCTTGTAGGGTTTGTTCTGGATTGACTCAAGCCCCACAAAGCTGCAAATGTTTTTATTTGGATGTATCTGAAATCTCAGAAGAACAGCCGACCTTGAGTGATTTCCATCATTTTTCAGGTCTGATGAAAAGCCCAAATCCAAACATGAGCCTTCTTTGGGCTCAAACTTTTGAAAGGATAATGGATTTTGTGGGTGGGGGGGGGGGAAGCATTGGACATAATGGTCTTCAGCACATGGCATTCTGATAAGTAAGCTGGAGAAATGCAGGCTTGAGAGAACTCCCATTATAATTGGTGAAACAATCACAAACGAAGAGTAACCATTAATGGTATGATGTCAGATTGGCTTGAGGTCTCACTTGGCTTCCACAGGGATCTATTCTGGTCTCAGTGTTGATTAACATCTCTAGATGTAGGAATAGGAACATACCGATGAACTTTGCAGATGACACAAAGCTGAGGGTGGGGGTTGCCGGTTCTACAGAGAATAGAGCTAAAATTCAGATGGATCTTGATAGATTGGAGAATGGGGCGATGGTTGAATTTCATTTTATTACCTAAGACAAATGTAAGGTGCCCAACTACAGAATGGGGGGAACTGCTGAGAATGCTCTAGGAGTCTGGAGTATCCCAGCCTCAACATGAGCCGGTAATGTGATGCTGTTACAAAAACCAGCGAGTGTAATTTCAGGTTGCATTAACAGCGGCATAGCCTGCAAATCACAGGAAGTGATAGCATTGCTCTACGTGGTGCTGGTTAGTCCTTAGCTGGAAACAATACTGTGTCCTGTTTTGGTCACCAGTGTATAGAAAGTATGTAGAGAAATTCAAAAGAATCCAGAGGCATCCTTGATGAACAAAGGGATGGAATGCAAGCCATAGAAGCCAAGGCTAAAGGAACTTATTTTTGGCTTGGGGAAAAGAGATTAAGGAGTATAAGCGTGGTATTCAGATACTTAAGAGACTGCCACTGAAAAGATGGAGAAAAGTTGTTTTCTTTTGCCACAGAAGGCAGGACGAGAAGCAGTGGGTTCAACCTACAGCGTAAGAGATGAAGATGAACTCTCAGGAAAAACTTCCTAGCAGTAAGAAGCCGGGGTGAAAGTAACTTAAATTTCTTACAGGTTGAATCCTATCATAGCCTGCCCTATAATGGGGGAGCTCAGGGCAGGAGGTGGGAAGTGTGGAATCAGAATTCAGCGTTGGAGATATGAGGGAATCAGGGCAGGGGGATGGAGTGTGTGAGAGAGGTGCACGAGTCAGACAGGGAACATGGAGGTGTGTAGGAATAAGGATTGGAGTGTGAGAGGGACTCAGGGCAGGGGTTGGGGTGTCTGGGGGAGCTGCAGGTGTCAGGGCAGAAGTCTGGGGGTTAGGGATGTGAGGGACTAGTTGACTATCCAATAAGTAAATGCTTATCGGATAGTCGACAGGCTAGTTGTCTAGTCGCTTCTATTCTATCAGAAAGAGGCAGCTAGGGGCAGGGGAAGAGGAGGGGGTACTAGGGCTGTTGCTACACTTCAAAGGCAGAGCCGCCCTATCGACTAATCGAAAAGTCGATGCAAAATGCATTGACTATTCAATTAGTCGATATTTAACATCCCTCTGGGGGGTATGAGAGGTGCAAGAGGCAGAGCAGGGGGTTAAGAGTGTGGAGGAGGTGCAGGAGTCAGGGCAGGAGGCTGGGGGTGTGGGGCATGCAGGAATCAGGGCAGGGGCCTGGGAGTAGGGGGGGAGGTGCAGGAGTCAGGGCTGGGGGTAGGGGGAGAGAGTAGGGGGGCCTAGTTAGCTTCTCTGGCTGGTGGATGGGTCCCTGCTCCGAAGTTGCTGTTTGTTGCTGCCACAAGGGAGCTGTGGGCTGGCTGTGTGGGGGCGCTGCTGCAAGGAGACTGGCAGTGATGCAAGAGACTCTCAGACCTGCTACTCCCTTCCCCTGGCATCTTCCCAGGTACCGCTGGCAACAGCGCACGCCACGGACCACCCATGTGCTGCCCGGCGTCCACTGATGTCCTCTCAAACTGCCTGCACAAATAGGATACGGCCTGGTGCTGGGCCCAGAGATAAGAAACAAGCTCTCCAAACTATAGATCAGTGGTTCCTCATTGCCATGGTAATAAGAAGGAACTTTCACAAATAGATAATCCGTTGCTCAGATATTTTTCCTTCCTGACTTGCTGCTGAGCTACCAGCTCTTTTAGCTCTTTTAACATCATTATCCAAGATTCTCCTAGGCTGGTCGCATTCCCAGTTAGTGTGAAACTGTACAGGAAATGCATTGAAATAATAGAAGGAAGAAACGATGCAAAATCAGGAAAGGGTGCATTGAATCTGTCCAACTAGATAGAATTGCATTTGTTTCCACACCTTTCACTTTCCAACTGAGTCAGCCCGTGAAATGAAATGCTCGCTATTCCCTTTAGTTCCTCTTTCAGCTCTAGCCTCCTAACAAACCCTGCCCTGTCATTCCGATTTGGGTAGGTGGGAACGGCATATTGCACTAGACATTGTTCTGAATGCTGCACCTTGTGACAATACAATAATTTCTGTGACCCTTCTCTTCACACTTTTGCCTGGGGATGCCTCTGTCACACGGAGGCATGCAAAACACTGAACATGTCAGATTTATTAATTTAGGAATTTTAATTTTATTTTCTGGGCATGACTTTATTTAGTTTGACATGTCACAGGACCTCTCCTATGCCTCCTGTAATACACCCAAAATCTTTGAGTTACTGAAGTCCTGAAATCATGATTTAAAGACTTCAAGTTACAGAGGAACCCACCATTTATACAAGTTTAAACTTGCATATGACCATGGCCCATGCTGCAAAAAAAAAAAAAAAAAAAAACAGCCACCGGGGCACTGCCAGTCTGACATGGAGAACAATTCCTATCCAGCAAGACCCAATAGTCAGACACCAGTAGTAATTCAGAGATGCCTCCCCATCTAGTGACCCAACACTGGTCACTGGGGTTACTTGTGGCTATCAGTCTCTGAGGGATAGTCTGTTAGAGCATGTCTACAGCAGGAAATTATTTTGAAATCAGTTATTTTGAAGAAATAACTCCCAAAAGAACTATTTCAAAATAGACAAGGAGTCCTGTGGCACCTTATAGACTAACAGATTTATTGGAGCATAAGCTTTCGTGGGCATCTTCGTCAGATGCAAAGCTTATCCTCCAATAAATCTGTTAGTCTGGATCTGCAAAAGCAACGAGGAGTCCTGTGGCACCTTATAGACTAACACAGCTACCCCTCTGATACTATTTCAAAATAGAGTGTCCACATACAGGGAAGCCTCGAAATTAGTCCAAGGCGGGCTCCCTTAATGTGGTCACACTACCTCAACTTACAGCCCCAGGAAGTACTGGGGAGTGATTACTGTGAATAACTACTCCCCAGAGTCATTTTGAAACAGCAGCAGTAGAGCGTCCATACTCCTGCTGTTTCGAAATAACTGTTAAAAAATAACTGTTTTGAAATAAGCGATATTCCTCCTGGAAAGCAGGAGTTGTTACTTTGAAATAATGGGCTGATTATTTTGAAATAACGGGCTTGTTAGTGTGGACGCTCCGCTTATTGTTGCAAAATAAGAGGAGTTATTTCGAAATCACTCCCTAGTGTAGACCAGGGTTCGTCTGTCTTTGCCTCTGTTGCTTCCAACTGGTAAGTTTTTAGTTTATAGCAACAATTCTTGTGGGTCCCTCCCTTGCACTTTACAC